GCGCGTGCGCGCGCGTGTGTTTTTTTTTTAATAACATTTACTTTGAATGATATTTCCTTTTGTATATTTTGTAGGAAATGAAAAATATTCAACACAAAGTATAAAAATCCTATTATCCTTGACAGTAGATTATTTCCTCAATGAGAGATTTTTAAATGGTCTCTCGTAAAATCAAACAACTCTTTGACTTTTGTCCTGGTAGCTGTCGTCTTTGTATTGAACTTTGTTCTGTGGGCCAAAAGTATTTTTAAGTATAGAGTATTTGTTATGAGTGGTATGGACTAAAGTAATGTTTAAGATACGCGTGATGAATGTTAGAGAGAACCCTTTTGTCCCATTCACAATCTCTGTTATGTAGTAACATTGCTCCAAACTCCAGAACTTTGTGTTGAAAGAAATGATATTCTTTTCTGAACTGAATGAAAATATTCATATTTTATAGAGAAACTCACCATGTGATTTTGTTTTACCGTCACATTCAGCTCTTGTTTTCTAGAAAGTGATTTTCAAACAATTCTTGAGGGTTTTCTTGGTGTTGTTCAGGCATCTGTCTTTAAATTGGTTTGTATTTTCTAATAAGGAAGATTAAACCTTGTGCTGCTTATTAAATTCCTGACTATTATTGATGTGCATCTGTGTGAGGGAGGTTGGGGGTGTGTGTCAAACAAAGTCACGTTAGTTATAGCATTTTTAACTCAAGAATGGATGGACAAATTTTAATTATCTATGATTTGTTGTATTCATCTCTGCCCCGAGTAGCAGAAGAACTATTAAAATATTGGAAATATTCACTTTGAGGTCAAAGGCCACAAACAAATATTTCTCACATTGTAATCTACCGGATCAGATCTTTTTGAACATTCTATTAGGTTTTTGCTGGGGGAGGGAGGGGGGAGAAAAAGAGAAAGAAAGGTAGATGAAAGGCAGAACATCTGCCGGGGTCTGCTATATAAACAGGCACTCTCTGTGTAAATGTTATTACTTTTTTTTCTTCTTTTTTTCCCTTCCTTTTTTCTTTTTTTCTTCTCTTCATCGCCTTAAGCCTATAGGAGGATTAGTAGCAAAATCAGTGTCAGATGTTTTTTGTTGTATTTCAGAATGATTAATTCACTCATGTAGTTTATCTGGTCAATTTTGAGGGCAGGTCCAAATAATGTAGAAAGTTTTTCTACTTCTGATCTATTCTGAAATCAATTAATAAGTAAAGGCAACTTAAGGATATTCTTTTAAAACCACGAAAACTTGGTTTCTTCTTTTGATTAAGATTACTTTATTCATTAATGTAATTAATTACTGAAAGATTGGGACCAAAAATGTGATGGATGTGTGCCAACTTGTAGATCACCTCATGAAAGTGAAAATAAATTACTTGCAATTACTTTTCAAAATTGATTTAGGTAGGCTGGGTTGTGGAAACATAATTTAGATATTTTTCACATTTTGTGAGTTTTACAAATTCTAAATCATTTACCCAAGAATGTACCAGAAACAAGCCTAGTCAGAATTATACAAACAATCAAGATTAGAATTTTACAACATTAAAGATGTTTCTGTTATTTTTTCTCATTATACACTCAAAATGCAGAAAAAATGTAACCTGTTGCAATTAGTTTCTTTATGTAGAAGTTGTCGTAGTAGCATTTGTTGATGTTGTTGTTGCAACTGAACTTGCATCACTTGCCGTCTGTTCCTTTATGCAAAGCCATGGCAATCGCTTTTGGAGCTCCACTCTGGAAAAATTAAACAATATTTTGTGAAATATCTGTTAAATATTATAAGAAAAAATGGAAGAATTCATAATAAAAAGATGTAATAAGTATTAGAAGTCAAAGATAAGTATTGTCTGGCATCTTTCAGAAACGGCAGAATGTTTGAATACTTTTTGAATGTTTTAAGGATTACTCAAAATAATTCAAAATTAAGAAAATCATAGGAATAAGAATGTTTTTCTTACAAATTCACAGTTGTTTAGTCAAGCATTTAATTTTTTTACATTCTCTTATACATACATATATATGGATATTTGTTTAGTGTAGAGAAATTTATGTTATGCAGGAAAAACTCATATTGTGCAGCCCTGATACAGCAAACGTGGATAAATCCTGTTCTAATATGTGTTAAATGATTCCCTCTAAGACATTATGTAGTCAAATTTCAGAAATGATGGTTTCTTTTACTGCAAAAGGTTTTTCAGAACGTTTGTCTGTCTGTGAACAACACTCGTGCCTAGTGCTAAGTGTATAATTTTCTTCAAACTGTCGATCTGCCCTCTCTTGAAACCTCGCGATTTCATTCCCTGTGAAAACATTCATTACTTTTAGGGGGTACTTAACATGAAGCCTCTGCCATATTTTCACAATTTTCTATAAAAGGCTCCAAATATTTTCCTTAAATTTCTTGTAAAAATACAATGAAATACTTTTATAAAGGTGGCAAAGGTTCATTTTTCACTGTTAACTATGAATTTTTTAAATTTGGAAAAGATTGAATTTTTTTCGGCATCTTCCAACTACAAAATTGAAGATAAGAAATATTTCCTTTAAATGAAATTTTTTCTCCATAATTCATGTTTTCATTAAGGTCGTGGACATTTTATTGCAAATTTTAGTACTTTTCATGCAAAATTGCTTGAAATATGAGCATATTAAAAAATTTCATTAACATTTCTTTTTTTTAAAAGGCTCCTTTTTTTGAAAACTTTTGATAGATATAGTTCTAAATATATCGCAAAAGATCACATTAACTTCATTTTGCTGAATTTTTTTGTTTTTTCAAAACTTGTATAAATGCGAATTTTTTGACTTGTCTCTCACATGGTTAATATTTACATTACATATGATTTGTATTCATTATTGAATTTGTAAAAGCAAGTGCTTCAAAATAAAGTTTCTCAAAAACTCAAAAGTTTTTGTTGAAAGTGAATCAAATCTTATTTTCAGAAACGCTCAAAATGCCATTTTCTTCAAAAGGCTCCAAACTTTTTCCGCAAACCTTTTGTTAGGATAGTTTTAAATACAACAGTTATAAAGATAACATGAAAGTAATTTAATATATGTATTCTGTCATCCGTCTCACCCCCACCACCATGATGAAAATGTTCTTTCTTTTTTTAAATATACGCCTAAAATAAATATGCAGTAAATATTATAGATTCATTTTCCAGCAATTTGTATACATTATTGCATTTGTGAATAGAAGTGCTACAAATGACTACCAATGAAGTTTTTCTAAAAGTTTTCTATGAAAAAGAGCTTCAAAATTTGCATTTACATGTACGCTTAAACAACGTGTTCTTAATCACAGCTCCAAATTTGTCAATAACAATTCCCATGTAGGACAAAGTTTTATTCTTCAGTAATATTCTTAAAGGGTTCTACCGTTTGCAAACTGAAAAATTGAAGGGAAAAAATTTTCTGGGGCTGTGATGATGCCAATTGGCAGGAGGATGGGGCAAGACCGTAAAGCCAGCGAAAACCAAAGAAATTAGAAAAATAGCTAGTACAAGAAAGTCTGTGCAATTTTGTGGCACAACTATTTTACATCCTGTATAGATACTCTCCCTCTCCTACTAACAAATTAAAATGGTGCTACAACGCATACTTTCTCCCATTGCTTCTAAAATAGCAATTCTCGAAATTCAGAGTTCAGAGATCCGTGCCTTTCTTTTAAGCATCCCTATTTCTACCCGTGAAAAAAATTTAAAGAAAAAGTTACGAGCAATTTTTGAGAAATAATGTTAATATTTTTTAAAAACTGCATTCATTTTGCCTCATACACAAAATCCTACTCATATTTTTGAAAAATTGAACACAAACTTATTTAAAGATCCATTTTTAAGGAACAGGTATTATTAAGAAAATCTGCAATAGTTGTAGGAAAACACCCCCAAAAAAATGCACTTTTGCAATTTTTAAAAGATCTGGGATTTTAATGAACATTATATCAGCACTATTAAACAAGTAACGTTATCCAAAGACAAGGTTTGATCAAAACATTTGGTGCCATTTTCGAATGTTTTTGAGGCTTCATGTAAAGTACCCTGAAAATCAATTTATGTTTGAAACTGCCAAAGTCTCAAGTTCATTCAGATTGATAAGGAAATATTAATTTTGAAGAAAACCAGCTGAACGGATTAGGTGCTGCTGTTGACCTCAGCCGGTCTTAGAGATTTTTTTTTTCAATATTTAGCTACCAAATTTATCCACTTTTTTGTTACTTGGGCCTGGTAATAAGAGTTTTTCTGCTGAAAATTCGCCGTTTTTCGGCGCATGATTACAAACTTTCTTTTCTTATGAAGTACCTTCGTAAGGATTTGAAAGTAAAATGACATTATTTGAAAGTGATAATAGATTATGTGGGAGTAAGCTTCTTCAATAATTGTGTGTGTTGCTTCCTCATGTGAACCAAAAGCTTGATGGAGAAACTGTTCACGAAGTATGAAAATTTAATGAGTAGTTGTGACTGCCTGTCACAATTCTTATTGAACTGCTTACCTATAGCGTGGATGGCTGATTGCGTACACATAAGGGTCGAGGCAAGCTACAGCTTTGCAAGTGCAGGCCGGAATCATTGTTACTCCAGGTGTTAGAAGTGTTCTGCGTAAAAGAATGACAAAATTTCAGTGAAATCGTTAGCGTGTAACAAACATAGGTTTCCAAAAATTAAAATGTTTCAGAAGTTGTTCCGGATAGAATTCACTCACTTGTTGCCAAATGCACCAATTAGAGCCAATACTGCATATGGAGTCCATGAAGCAACAAACAGAAAGCATATGCCAATGGCAACTTTGGCAATGCGTATCTCAGCAGATGTTTGATTTTGCTGTTGATTGCTTCGTAGAGAGTCCACATTCATTTTCTTAGCCTTTCAGAAACAAATGTTTTCAATGCTTAGTTTAATGTTGAACTGATGTTCAAAAGACACTGTGTAAATTGAAGCAGTTCTTAATTGTAGCGCTCACCTGTTCTTTAAGTGATTTTTCATGATTTACCACATGACTTACAATTTGAGAATAAAAATAAATTATCAGGCTCATTGGAATAACATAGGAACAAATGAATATACAGAGAACAAACATATTATTTTCAGGGGTGTCTGTGAGATAATCAAATGAGCAACTGGATAAATAGCCCTCTGGAAAGCAAGAGAACATTGTCAATTAATTAGTCTTGGTGGGTATTACGATAAACTAATTACTAGTTTCCATTATTTACCAGGAGCAAATCTTCCCCACACTTCCAAAAGAGGCATTATTGCCCATGGTAGAGTATATGTCCAGAGCAGTAGGACTAGCATTGTGGCACCTTTTATTGACATTTTACTGTCAAATGGTCGAGCAATAACTCTGGAAAACAAAATTGGATTTGTTTTTCATATGCATTATTTAACATAAGTGTAATTAATCATTTATTTATGAATTTTATAAATTTACTCATTATTGTGAGATAGTGCTACAATAAATCTATTGTTAATGTTCCTTGAATTGAATTTTTGTTGCATATATAAATATCAGAGCAAATTCAAATTAAATTGCTTTCATTTTTTAAATAATTTTTTTCTTATTGGTGAAGCACTTTGCTAAAAGTCTTAGGTATTTGTATCATCCTGAAAGTATGCCTAACTTACCTGTATCTGTCATAGGCAATGCATGCATTTGTTGTTGCAGCTCCTATGCCTGAAATTGACCCCATGAAACCAAAAATTTGACATCCCAGCTGCCCCATTGCAAAACCCAAATTAAATGAATTGTATATAAAAATGGGTGTTTTTAACATCATGATAAAATCACAAATTGCAAGATTTATAACAAATACATTAGAAGGAGTGCGAAGAGACTTGGCTCTGTAAGAGAAAGAGAAAAAACATTATTTATTTTCATTGGTTTTCCAATGTATGTTGAAATTGCTTTCTGTAAGTACTGAAAACGCTTATTAATATGTATTTATAACATAGATCTAGCATGCATGTTTTCTGGGAAAAATATAGATGTGAATTTCAGCTTTTAATGAACAATGTTTACATAATCGTTTCAACTATTCACTATGCCTAAACTCTTTTGTGATTGATTGCCATTGATGGGCATGTGAAAGCTTATTGTTCCAAACGCACTTCAAAACGCCCTGTCGGGATCAAAACCACCTTAATGTTTTAAAAAAAAGTTCAGTGTAGATTTAATTTTTTTTTTCTAGAAATTGAAAATCATCCCAATGTGCGTCACGGCGTCATGCATGGTATGGCCTGATCACGCATGCCCCCCCCTCCCCTCCCCATTTCAGAGCAGCCGGGCGAACTGCCGAGGGAAGTCGGGTATGGTTCGCCGGAGTAATTAAAATATGGATGGCAATCATACTTAAGGGGCGTTGCAAGTTGGACACCCCCGTTTCTAAGGGGAAGGGATCAGGGTCGACAGACGAAGAAGCACGCGAATGACCTGCAGACCTTCCCTCATGCGCCGTAAACCGCGGGCCGACATCAGGGTCCCAGAGAGGGAAGGCGTGAGTAGAAAGGCACGAGGAAGCGGCGATTTGGGCGCAGCAAACGCGTTGGTAGGAATTTTATAATGAGGCGTTTCTTAAATTATACAAACATTTTAATACTAGTTTATGTGAAAACAAAACACCTATCAATTTGCGAATAAGTTACACGTTGTTCGTCATTCAAAAATAACATTTTGTGTCCCCAGTGTGGGGGTTAGCTTAATCGTGGGGAAGTTCTAGGCAGCTGTTAAAGAGCTCTTTCTTAATGAGCCACGCTTGATTTGTTGACGGAAATAAGTAGGGCAATCGGCCATGTTGTTATGAGCTATTATTTAATTTGTCCGTTATGAATAGCAATAATAATTGCTAAATTACTCTTAAAAAAGCAATTCCCCTCTCTCACTTAAAAAAGCAAGTTGCACTTTTCCTCAAACCCCCCCCCCAACACATTTTCAGAGTGCATCCAGTAGTTCAATACTATTTTTTTGTGAAGACAGTTTCAGTATTTCATATATGTATACTTATATTATAACGATGGTTATTTATTTTATAACTTTAAGACTGAAATGATAACATAGTGTACTCGAACGTCTTTTGTTGTCCTTCATTAGTCAAAAATGCGTGGGAAAGAATTATTATGAAGATGCTTCCGAAGTGGCAAGTAGATGAAGGAATTATTTTCCGTGAGCCTACATGTTCATTTTTAGCGAAGAGGATCAATCTCTACTTGTTCCCACCACCATTCTACTCACCGCCATCGTCTCTGCGTCTTTTTTCTTTCTATATTTCTCTTTTAATTTAAGGTCGCATCAACTTCTAGGTCATTAGCGACCACTATTGCGGTGAACTGTAAGGATGACACGATATGGTGGTGAAAGAACGAACACAATACAACCATGAACGAGACGGGACTCGAACCCGCGATTATTCGGTCCGAGATCCCTACGACACTACTGCCTTAGCGATCTTGGCCATCCGAACCTGCTCTTTTCTTTTTGGGCCAAAGAAGGTAATTGAATTGATAAATAGCTGTGTTATAACTTGACATTTTAAGCTACTACAAGCTTTTGTTAACTTCGATACAAATGGTGCCGGGGCTTTAACTAAACTTTCGTGGAGGATCACACTTCTTTTGATCTCCCTTACGTGCCAGAGATCGCCCATGGCATTGAATTAAAAGAATGCTTACGAACTGAAGACCCAGATGACCAGTCCATTTCCCACGAGAGCTATAGCACAGAATGCTACATACAGCATGCCAAGGAGGTAGTGGCTGAATGCCTCTGGCTCGGGGAATGTCAGCCAGTGCTCCGGGATGTGGATTAACTCCTCGGCAGGAACATTCCACCCCAGTAAGCGAGTGGCCAACCTTACATTAAAGCAATGGAAAATTTGTAAATATCTGGTGACATAGATATCTTTGTGTAATTAACAAATGCTGACATCGTATCTTAAATTGCAGAGGATTGAGATATTTTCAATCATCAGAGCAGAAAAATGATATACAAAAATATTCATTTACAAAAACGTTAGGAACTATGACACACGCGTACAAATGACGCGTACGTATGACAAACTGAATGGGTGGAAAACAGAGTTCTGTGGTCATTTAGGATTTCGAATATTTTCAGCTCTGATGATGATCGCTAAGTAATTGAAAATATATTTAAGCCAAACAAATCTGAGATAGGTACTTGGACGAGAAATTTATTTTGACAAAGCCGTGAAAAACCGCAATATATTTCACAACCTCACACAACTGTACAATTATTGAAATTTCTAAACAAATACATTTCATTTGTTTGCATTTATGCTGATATTAATATTACAAGTATACTATCAGAAATATTAATCTTTTAATTAATATCTCTAAAATCAACACTAAGACTTAAATAGCCAAATCAACAGGAAATAAATAGATAGTACAGTTATTTCTTACATTTAGGAAAAACTAGATCATTCAAGAATTTGTAATAGAGCCTAGAAGTTTAGCAAAATGTTTTTTTTTTAATGTTGCTATTTGATGACTTTCAACAATAGGAATCACTTAAATGTACTTCTGGAATTTTTTAGTAGATTTTAGTTTTTGCCTTTTTTTAGCTCTTGATGCCTATTTTTGCCTTTTTTCTACCGTTTACTTCGTTATTTTGCATATTTATTCTCCTGGCACTGACTGCGGCCGAAATTGGATATAAACATGCAAGCCGAACAACACGAAGGCGTGCTCATATTTTGTGTTTCTATGGAAGCAGAGGCTGTGTTAAAAATATAAATGAAAAAGGAAGATGATATCAGTCAAGGGGCTGGATGGGCGGGGCGGGAAGTGTTTGCAGGACGGCCATGGCTTGTCAGATAGGGCGTGCAGGGGGTTCGAATCACGATAATCGGGAAGAAGTGATCCAGCAGAATATACTGGATGGGCGAGGCAGATGGGCAGGCAATGGTAGTCTTACAGGACGTGCAGGGGACGGGACGGGCGTTGTGATATTAGCAAGAGGATTTTACGGAGTAGAATAGGTTGGATGGGAGAAGGAGTTGCGTATAGGAAGGCCGAGGCAAGCCGAACAAGGCGTGCGGAGGATATGGACGAAGCGTGATGTCACGTGTGATCAATAGGGGGCGGATTTTAATGAAATATCATTTTTTCTTTTCACTTTAGAACAATGTCTTTTAATATAGATATTATTTTTGTTATATATATATATATATATAAAAAATGACTCATTTTTATATAGGATTTTATTTTCTTTTTGTATTTTTCGTCAGTTTTGACTAATAACTTATTTTTTTACCTTTTCGTCATTTTTAAAGTATTTTTTTGCTGATTGATTCAATTTTAATGATACTTGCTTCAAACAATAATTGCGAGATACAACAAATGTTCCCCATAGAATTCCCGAGTAGCCTTTTCGATTTCTTCGGTCATAAATCGTAATGGCAGCCGTTGTACTACGGTTCCTCTGGCGCATGTCAGCGCCATTGTCCGTTCGGTCCATTTCGCGATTAATAAAGACAGATTTCCTTCTAAAGAACATTCCGAACCAAAAGTTTGCAGGCTGAGTTCACAGGAGCGGAAATAATAAGTTCAAAATTTGTTACATCAGTAACAAATCCAACAGTTTGAGTTGTTTATCTGGACTGCTTTTAATCAACTTTGTACGTCCTTTTTCTTTGCTTTTGAGGCATTTAAAAAAAATAGAATTTTATTGATTATTTTTGGCAATGTGTTAGGTCATCAAAATCCACCCCCTAGTGATGAGATAGGGCGGAGGGGCTGGATTGGCGGTGCAGGAGTTTTAATCAGGATGACCCTAGGTGACCCGGTAGGGCGAAGGAGGATGCGGGCGAAGTCTGCGAGGCTGCTTCGATAGACGATTGTGAGAAATAAGTACCTCGGCAACGTCGGGTAACCAGCTAATAATAATAATAATAATAATAATAATAATAATAATAATAATAATAATAATAATAATAATAAATTTCTATTGATTTATAATAATAATAATAATAATAATAATAGAGAAATTGAAGTCTTTTTGAGAAAATTGCGAAAATGTCGTTCGGGCTTCAAGTAAAGTACCCCCCCCCAAAAAAAAAAAGAAATTGTGTTTCAATTTCAAGGGGCTGCAAGATTAGATCGATTGGGGGAATACGATCGATCTTAATTGGTAAAAATATTGTGTTTAGTCGCTACATTGGTTTATAAGCGTACAGACTGACATTTGTAAAATGTTTGTTGATAACAGGGACGCCCAAAACTTGTATTTCCGTCAAAATTGATATTTGCGGAATAAACTATTGTAACAACGAGAGAGTGTAAAGAAGAGAACTGACTAAGAATGTTTGAATAGGATTTTGAAATTGCAAAACACGTGAAATTTTTGCTGGAAATACATTTATTGTCAAAATGATCTAAGGATTATTCAGATTATCTTACCTGGCTTCAGGGCGCCACACACCGAGGTGAGAAACATTGCTGCCTTGGAGCTCCATCCCGCGCAACTGCAAACGGACTCATTCCACGCCATTATATACATGTCGAGAAGCCACATGCACTGGCTTTGTCAGCAGGGGATAATCTAGGGAATGGTAATCCATTACAAATGGATACATCAGGGTTTAAATGTGGGGAAGGGGATAAAACATGAAACCTTACAAATGTATCGGATTAGTAGCAACGTGGTTTCTTTGTTTCTAGAGCACAAGTATATCACTATCTTCGTCATGAAAGAATTTCAGTAAGTTTTATTTTGAATAGTCATTATTTTCAAAGTACTTACCATAATATTTTCCTGATTAGTTCGGATCTATTCCTATTTTAAATGCAATGGTACTGTCAGATTATATTTATTTTGCTTCATCGAGCTGTGTAATGCTAAGAATCCACATCTAATTCTAATAATTTTGTTAACGTAAATTTTTAAAAATGGTAATTGAAATAAGCGTATCTCTATAGTTTATGGAGGCGGCGGGGGTAATTTCAATAAAGTGTGGGACTGCACACCACATTTTTAATCGTAAAAATTTAATTCATTGAGAATCAAATTTGTTGCCAAGTTTTCAAGTTTGTGTTTCTCTTTGCCTTTATTTCTGATTACCTGAATACTTCATTGTTGTGGGTTTAGAAAACTCGTTATGATAAAAATTCAACTGTAGTGGAATGGTTCGTAAATTCGTAGTGACTGGCCCAAACGGGGTAAAGGATTTCATTAAGTTTGGAGAAGGAAATCAAGCGCTGATGTTACTGAAGTCAAGGATTGTCGACACTGTCGGTCGATAAACCGGTCTGACAATGGGCCCAGCTCTCTTCGCATCCCCTCCCAATAAAACTTGGGAGGGGCTGTAAAGGCGGAGGCCCTAAAAAACTGGACAATAATAATGAAGTAAGTAACATTGTAAACGAAACATTTGGAAAACAATGTGAGTTTGGTGGTAAATAAACGAAATAAGGATGTTAGCATTAATTCCCCTCGAGGTTACATGTACATTTAAATATATTTCGTCTCTCCCGATTTTCTGTAAACCATCCATGTTGTTAAATTCCCGCAATAAAAGTCTCCGCCCGCGTGTCCAAAGACGCCAGCCAGAAGCAGAGCTTAAAATAAATGTGTTATTTTTGGATATTTGCGTATATAGCCCAAATTTCGCATTTTCACCTCGTGTAAATGGGCTCTACAAGTGTTCAAAACGGGCTCCTCTTGTGGGCACGCAAGATAGGCGTCTGCGCCGCACGGCCTCCATGACACGCACAACCTTTCCGGGTTATACCTTCATTTCCGCCGCCAAGCTTTCAATGCGCCGAAAAAGGTCATCCCAATCCTTGACTTCAGTAATATCAGCGCTCTTTCATTAACCCCTAGCTCCAAAAACGTTGGAAATATCTTAGTTATAAAATCCAGGTACTGAACGCCTACTTTGTGCAGGAAATTACTAGGGAATTGAAAATGACGTTATGTCTACTGTGCATATGTTGCACCCGCTAGAAATTGAAGTCGTAATCTCTTCGCATGATTTGTTCACCACACGAGGAACTGTGATCCCTTGACCCCACGCGCTATTTACCTCGTGCTCGCTTCCGGGGCTTCTCAGACTACGCGTTTTCCAAAGAAGTGGCGAGCCCTAACTCGAGGACAAGCCGCTCGCTCACTTGCCGTAGCCCGTGTTACGCGAGCACATGTGCATAGGCCAAAGTTTAACGTTAATTATTTACGAAACTAAACGACGCGTTGTTTAGCGACGAAGAGTGTCAAATTTTGATAAGTACAGTCTGTACAATACATACGGGATAAGGTCCTGGTGTATTAGCAACGTGGACTGAATCATCCTGTATTTCAATCAAAATCGAAAATGTTTCATCGTTTTGGATTTTCCGCTAGTTCCCGGGTATGTATAGAAACCATAGACACCTCTAGCATGGTCGCGCGTTAAGGAATAGCAACTTCTTTTCATTTCTGGAACTCAACGTTGAATTGTATACTCAAAGAAAGTTGTATATTATAATCGCCATACGTTCAACCACGTTTGGGCGCCAGTTTTATGCAATGGATTTTTCCAATTTTATGCAATGGAATTTTATGCAGAATATCTCACAATAAAAGCTGGAATTAGTTACTGGCCATTTCTAGATTGGTAGAACACATGTAAAGTTATTAATTTAAGCACAATAAATAAATTACCATTTGAAAATTAAATATTCAGTGACAAGCCATAAATAAAAATAAAGGTACAAATATTTCAATAACCTGGAATGTGGCCGCATTTTACATTGTAGAATGAATCCATAAATATTTTAAGATGTACAGAAAAGGCATCCCAGAGTAGACAAAAAATAATACTTGGACCCTCTGAGAAATAAAAATATCCGTTGACACTTCATATTTTAGGCATTTAGGTATTTTAATCAATCTATATAACAAATGATTGATTATTTAGAACAACATACAAAAATGCAATGATTGATACAAAGAAAATGTGCAGAAGTTAGCCTGAAATATGACAATGCACATCGCAGTGACAGTCGTAGCTAGTGATTGCAGTGTGCTTTACGTTTAGTTGGAAAGTGAATGTTTCACAACTGCCCTAGTACAGGGCAAATCCTCTCAGGTGCTCTATCTGTTTTACATCAAATGGACACTAGCTGACTGCATCACCTCAAAAGAAATATCATCAATTCCCTACATACAAAACTATCACAGATCCAGTTAGCCGAATCAGCAAACAGGCTAGCATCAACCTACGCGAACATCTAGCTCAGCAGCCTTCAATCTGAGATACCAAAAATGCAAAAGAAATGTGCATGCGACCATGTAACAGTCTTGCGCGAAATCGAACTTTCAAATGGTATACCGGCGTATGAAAGTGAAAAATCAAGTGTTGCGCATATCACGTCAGGGTCGTCCCTAGTTAGTGCTACACCAAGTATAGCGATAAACTTAATAGGGTCAATGCAAAATGTATATCGTGATACAATTGCCAACAGATTTGGCGATGTACAAAGTCTCGATGATTCACTAGTTGAAGCTTCGAGATATCATCCGATCTACGTACCGATGAAAAATCTACGTTTAGCGACTTGGTGATAATTCTTAAGCTAATTTGCGAGTAGTATTTTTTTTACTAAATTAAAATCAAAATTATCGTGCGGTGGTTAAAAACTTAAATGAAAATCAAAGGCAATTCCATTTTTACGTTAATCTCAGTAACAACGATTATATCTGTAGTTATAAAAAATGTGCATACTTAAATCTCGGGGAAAGAAATTTATTCGGAATCAAAATCAAAGTTTGACTCTGTGAAAAAAGTCACATCATCTAAAAAATGGTTCACTAATAGTTACTGTAGAATACTCTAGTGCCCATCCTCTTGAAAATTCTCCAAATAGATACTTGACGCCATTTAAAACTCAAGGTAGAAAAAAGAAAAGACACTATGGACCACTACAGAGTGAGCGTTGCCTAGATTTCGGTCATAGCAAAAACAGCTACAACAGAAATTGTTCATTGCTCATTGTGCTGGTAACCACATTTTGGTTAGCTGCAAAAGTGCAACTTCTGTTCCGTTCTGTGTCCATTGTAAAGGGAATCACCGTCAGATCAATACTCCTAGAATGTAAAACCAAAGAATTGGAATAGATCTAATAAAAGGTCAATTAACAATAATAATTCGTCATTGCGGGTTCCTGTCAATAACAAATTTTTTCTTCCTTACCAAATGCAAACTAAATACCCCATTTTTTACCTTCAACCTCGTATTGGGCTTCAACCTCTTATGCACATACTATTAGAAACTAGCAATATCACCCATCTCAAGCATTCATCCCTGATCCAAATAATCCTTTAATTAACAATATTCAAGCAGTTGACACCCTCCCCCAATTTTCTGCGCTCACTTATCGCTATAGTAGTAGATAAAATTCTTTATTTCGCTTTTTGCAAATATGAATAGTGTCACCCCTTAAATTATTAAGATTTCTCAATAGTAACAGTCATGAAGTCCACAAAAACACCTCGAACTCATCGATTTTATAAATGCTTAATCCATAGGCATAGCTTGTATCACCAAAACACATTTGACATCAGTATTTACTTAGATGTGCGGGTGATGCCGCGTCCATGGCAAAGGTGCCGACGTCTCGGTCGCCATTCTGCGGCCTTCCTCAAGGCGTAATGCGCGGAGACCAAGACTTTGTGCAGTTTTGTGAACGCACGGAAAGTGCAATGCACGTTCACGCCACCGCGATGAGACCATTCCTACCATTACGGGCATCTATGGCCAATCCTGCAACATGAAGAAAAACAGAAGGTCAAAAATGACTTTAGCCTA